TCTCAGCTATAAAAATCACAGTATAAATAAATGCGAGTAAATATAAAATATCAAAAGCTATGAATTCAGAAGTGGTTTGCATCGTTATGTTAATTCTTTGCATCAATACCGATGCAACAAGTAAGAATCTTTTCTTTTCGTGAGATAAAAGTATTCATATTTTCATTGATTTTGAATGAATTTTCAATTTAGGATATAATTTACCAATAAACTGTCAACTTCAGCCAGATAAAGGACTATGTCGGGCAGCAATATATCGTTATTATTACAATGTTTCTATTCATGAATGCGAACTTTTTCTTTATGGTGGATGTCTCGGAAACGGAAACAATTTCGAATCCTTACAGGAATGCAGCGATTATTGTTCTGCAAGTAAGTTCAGCTATTTGAAATTCTAAATTAAGCTGGCAATTACTTTTTAAATGAATATAAAAATTTTACGCTAGTATTCTGTTTCTCCCCCCCAGAAAATTTAGATGATCTACCAAAACCAAGTGGTAAAAACAGTCAAAAGTGGTAGCTGGTCACGGGTTGGAACGTCATCAGCTGACTAGGCTCATTGAGTTTTTACGTCTTTTTCGTGTGTTTTACTCGTTAAATAAAGTCGGTTTCTCATAGAAAGTCCTTTCGGGGATACTTCCTCCTTCGTGTCTATATGCTGTTGTCTGTAAAAAGAATAAATGTCTAAAAATGCTACAGAGTCCATGTTATACATTAACAACTAATAAAGTGTCAGGAAGTGTTTATAAGAGTTTGTGTTTTATACGTTACGAAGTATATTGAAAATAATCTGGTCTGTTCGAAGAATCAGCCATTTCGGAACCCACCAGTGGCCGAATGGCTAAAATCACTGCACACTAGTAGTTTGTTGTGGTTTAACCGGGATATTTTCACGTTGGTAACATGTAAATAGGCGTGTAAAGTTCTTCTGGGAAGCATCATAGTTCGGCACAACGCCCACGTGTCGCTTTGACGAAAAGATATGAAAAAAACAAACATTCCATCGTATTTCGTGGTAAAAAGAACCACTACATATGATATGCTACTATTATACTTTGGAAATCGTGTTTTTTTTTTATCAAAATATATTATAGGTTGCATTTATGTAGAATGAATTAAAAATATAGAGGAGTGTGTTGTCGAAATTTTATTAATTTTGAATGAAAACGAATAGTAGAATTTAACTTTGTGTTCTTTGATTTCTGGTGTAACTTTTTAAAATATTAAAGTCTAAAAATTTACTAAAATAAAAAATTAATTAAGTAGGCACGTATTGTGAAACAAGAGATTTACGTCTTTAATATTTCTGTTACATGTAATAAAATGATGTATTTAACAAATTATATACAGTATATATAATTTATTTTATAAACTATAACTAGAAGACAGCTGAACTGCAATTATAATATTTATTAAAACCTTTAATAAATAAAACTTTGTTGTTTTATTATCATCCTATATGTATATAAAAAGTGCATACATGTTTTACTTATGTAATTAAAAAGATAAAAACATAAAGCTAGTCAAGAATTAGTTAAAATTTTTCCAGGTATAAATTGTATTTGATGAAAAATGCTATTTTCTTTACTATTGAAAAAGATTTAATTAAAAGCACTGTAATACAAATTTACAGCCATCATCATATACAGGTTCCTAAAAAAAAAAAAAAAAAAAAAAAAAAAAAAAAAAAAAAAAAAAAAAAAAAAAAAAAAAAAAAAAAAAAAAAAAAAAAAAAAAAAAAAAAAAAAAAAAAAAAAAAAAAAAAAAAAAAAAAAAAAAAAAAAAAAAAAAAAAAAAAAAAAAAAAAAAAAAAAAAAAAAAAAAAAAAAAAAAAAAAAAAAAAAAAAAAAAAAAAAAAAAAAAAAAAAAAAAAAAAAAAAAAAAAAAAAAAAAAAAAAAAAAAAAAAAAAAAAAAAAAAAAAAAAAAAAAAAAAAAAAAAAAAAAAAAAAAAAAAAAAAAAAAAAAAAAAAAAAAAAAAAAAAAAAAAAAAAAAAAAAAAAAAAAAAAAAAAAAAAAAAAAAAAAAAAAAAAAAAAAAAAAAAAAAAAAAAAAAAAAAAAAAAAAAAAAAAAAAAAAAAAAAAAAAAAAAAAAAAAAAAAAAAAAAAAAAAAAAAAAAAAAAAAAAAAAAAAAAAAAAAAAAAAAAAAAAAAAAAAAAAAAAAAAAAAAAAAAAAAAAAAAAAAAAAAAAAAAAAAAAAAAAAAAAAAAAAAAAAAAAAAAAAAAAAAAAAAAAAAAAAAAAAAAAAAAAAAAAAAAAAAAAAAAAAAAAAAAAAAAAAAAAAAAAAAAAAAAAAAAAAAAAAAAAAAAAAAAAAAAAAAAAAAAAAAAAAAAAAAAAAAAAAAAAAAAAAAAAAAAAAAAAAAAAAAAAAAAAAAAAAAAAAAAAAAAAAAAAAAAAAAAAAAAAAAAAAAAAAAAAAAAAAAAAAAAAAAAAAAAAAAAAAAAAAAAAAAAAAAAAAAAAAAAAAAAAAAAAAAAAAAAAAAAAAAAAAAAAAAAAAAAAAAAAAAAAAAAAAAAAAAAAAAAAAAAAAAAAAAAAAAAAAAAAAAAAAAAAAAAAAAAAAAAAAAAAAAAAAAAAAAAAAAAAAAAAAAAAAAAAAAAAAAAAAAAAAAAAAAAAAAAAAAAAAAAAAAAAAAAAAAAAAAAAAAAAAAAAAAAAAAAAAAAAAAAAAAAAAAAAAAAAAAAAAAAAAAAAAAAAAAAAAAAAAAAAAAAAAAAAAAAAAAAAAAAAAAAAAAAAAAAAAAAAAAAAAAAAAAAAAAAAAAAAAAAAAAAAAAAAAAAAAAAAAAAAAAAAAAAAAAAAAAAAAAAAAAAAAAAAAAAAAAAAAAAAAAAAAAAAAAAAAAAAAAAAAAAAAAAAAAAAAAAAAAAAAAAAAAAAAAAAAAAAAAAAAAAAAAAAAAAAAAAAAAAAAAAAAAAAAAAAAAAAAAAAAAAAAAAAAAAAAAAAAAAAAAAAAAAAAAAAAAAAAAAAAAAAAAAAAAAAAAAAAAAAAAAAAAAAAAAAAAAAAAAAAAAAAAAAAAAAAAAAAAAAAAAAAAAAAAAAAAAAAAAAAAAAAAAAAAAAAAAAAAAAAAAAAAAAAAAAAAAAAAAAAAAAAAAAAAAAAAAAAAAAAAAAAAAAAAAAAAAAAAAAAAAAAAAAAAAAAAAAAAAAAAAAAAAAAAAAAAAAAAAAAAAAAAAAAAAAAAAAAAAAAAAAAAAAAAAAAAAAAAAAAAAAAAAAAAAAAAAAAAAAAAAAAAAAAAAAAAAAAAAAAAAAAAAAAAAAAAAAAAAAAAAAAAAAAAAAAAAAAAAAAAAAAAAAAAAAAAAAAAAAAAAAAAAAAAAAAAAAAAAAAAAAAAAAAAAAAAAAAAAAAAAAAAAAAAAAAAAAAAAAAAAAAAAAAAAAAAAAAAAAAAAAAAAAAAAAAAAAAAAAAAAAAAAAAAAAAAAAAAAAAAAAAAAAAAAAAAAAAAAAAAAAAAAAAAAAAAAAAAAAAAAAAAAAAAAAAAAAAAAAAAAAAAAAAAAAAAAAAAAAAAAAAAAAAAAAAAAAAAAAAAAAAAAAAAAAAAAAAAAAAAAAAAAAAAAAAAAAAAAAAAAAAAAAAAAAAAAAAAAAAAAAAAAAAAAAAAAAAAAAAAAAAAAAAAAAAAAAAAAAAAAAAAAAAAAAAAAAAAAAAAAAAAAAAAAAAAAAAAAAAAAAAAAAAAAAAAAAAAAAAAAAAAAAAAAAAAAAAAAAAAAAAAAAAAAAAAAAAAAAAAAAAAAAAAAAAAAAAAAAAAAAAAAAAAAAAAAAAAAAAAAAAAAAAAAAAAAAAAAAAAAAAAAAAAAAAAAAAAAAAAAAAAAAAAAAAAAAAAAAAAAAAAAAAAAAAAAAAAAAAAAAAAAAAAAAAAAAAAAAAAAAAAAAAAAAAAAAAAAAAAAAAAAAAAAAAAAAAAAAAAAAAAAAAAAAAAAAAAAAAAAAAAAAAAAAAAAAAAAAAAAAAAAAAAAAAAAAAAAAAAAAAAAAAAAAAAAAAAAAAAAAAAAAAAAAAAAAAAAAAAAAAAAAAAAAAAAAAAAAAAAAAAAAAAAAAAAAAAAAAAAAAAAAAAAAAAAAAAAAAAAAAAAAAAAAAAAAAAAAAAAAAAAAAAAAAAAAAAAAAAAAAAAAAAAAAAAAAAAAAAAAAAAAAAAAAAAAAAAAAAAAAAAAAAAAAAAAAAAAAAAAAAAAAAAAAAAAAAAAAAAAAAAAAAAAAAAAAAAAAAAAAAAAAAAAAAAAAAAAAAAAAAAAAAAAAAAAAAAAAAAAAAAAAAAAAAAAAAAAAAAAAAAAAAAAAAAAAAAAAAAAAAAAAAAAAAAAAAAAAAAAAAAAAAAAAAAAAAAAAAAAAAAAAAAAAAAAAAAAAAAAAAAAAAAAAAAAAAAAAAAAAAAAAAAAAAAAAAAAAAAAAAAAAAAAAAAAAAAAAAAAAAAAAAAAAAAAAAAAAAAAAAAAAAAAAAAAAAAAAAAAAAAAAAAAAAAAAAAAAAAAAAAAAAAAAAAAAAAAAAAAAAAAAAAAAAAAAAAAAAAAAAAAAAAAAAAAAAAAAAAAAAAAAAAAAAAAAAAAAAAAAAAAAAAAAAAAAAAAAAAAAAAAAAAAAAAAAAAAAAAAAAAAAAAAAAAAAAAAAAAAAAAAAAAAAAAAAAAAAAAAAAAAAAAAAAAAAAAAAAAAAAAAAAAAAAAAAAAAAAAAAAAAAAAAAAAAAAAAAAAAAAAAAAAAAAAAAAAAAAAAAAAAAAAAAAAAAAAAAAAAAAAAAAAAAAAAAAAAAAAAAAAAAAAAAAAAAAAAAAAAAAAAAAAAAAAAAAAAAAAAAAAAAAAAAAAAAAAAAAAAAAAAAAAAAAAAAAAAAAAAAAAAAAAAAAAAAAAAAAAAAAAAAAAAAAAAAAAAAAAAAAAAAAAAAAAAAAAAAAAAAAAAAAAAAAAAAAAAAAAAAAAAAAAAAAAAAAAAAAAAAAAAAAAAAAAAAAAAAAAAAAAAAAAAAAAAAAAAAAAAAAAAAAAAAAAAAAAAAAAAAAAAAAAAAAAAAAAAAAAAAAAAAAAAAAAAAAAAAAAAAAAAAAAAAAAAAAAAAAAAAAAAAAAAAAAAAAAAAAAAAAAAAAAAAAAAAAAAAAAAAAAAAAAAAAAAAAAAAAAAAAAAAAAAAAAAAAAAAAAAAAAAAAAAAAAAAAAAAAAAAAAAAAAAAAAAAAAAAAAAAAAAAAAAAAAAAAAAAAAAAAAAAAAAAAAAAAAAAAAAAAAAAAAAAAAAAAAAAAAAAAAAAAAAAAAAAAAAAAAAAAAAAAAAAAAAAAAAAAAAAAAAAAAAAAAAAAAAAAAAAAAAAAAAAAAAAAAAAAAAAAAAAAAAAAAAAAAAAAAAAAAAAAAAAAAAAAAAAAAAAAAAAAAAAAAAAAAAAAAAAAAAAAAAAAAAAAAAAAAAAAAAAAAAAAAAAAAAAAAAAAAAAAAAAAAAAAAAAAAAAAAAAAAAAAAAAAAAAAAAAAAAAAAAAAAAAAAAAAAAAAAAAAAAAAAAAAAAAAAAAAAAAAAAAAAAAAAAAAAAAAAAAAAAAAAAAAAAAAAAAAAAAAAAAAAAAAAAAAAAAAAAAAAAAAAAAAAAAAAAAAAAAAAAAAAAAAAAAAAAAAAAAAAAAAAAAAAAAAAAAAAAAAAAAAAAAAAAAAAAAAAAAAAAAAAAAAAAAAAAAAAAAAAAAAAAAAAAAAAAAAAAAAAAAAAAAAAAAAAAAAAAAAAAAAAAAAAAAAAAAAAAAAAAAAAAAAAAAAAAAAAAAAAAAAAAAAAAAAAAAAAAAAAAAAAAAAAAAAAAAAAAAAAAAAAAAAAAAAAAAAAAAAAAAAAAAAAAAAAAAAAAAAAAAAAAAAAAAAAAAAAAAAAAAAAAAAAAAAAAAAAAAAAAAAAAAAAAAAAAAAAAAAAAAAAAAAAAAAAAAAAAAAAAAAAAAAAAAAAAAAAAAAAAAAAAAAAAAAAAAAAAAAAAAAAAAAAAAAAAAAAAAAAAAAAAAAAAAAAAAAAAAAAAAAAAAAAAAAAAAAAAAAAAAAAAAAAAAAAAAAAAAAAAAAAAAAAAAAAAAAAAAAAAAAAAAAAAAAAAAAAAAAAAAAAAAAAAAAAAAAAAAAAAAAAAAAAAAAAAAAAAAAAAAAAAAAAAAAAAAAAAAAAAAAAAAAAAAAAAAAAAAAAAAAAAAAAAAAAAAAAAAAAAAAAAAAAAAAAAAAAAAAAAAAAAAAAAAAAAAAAAAAAAAAAAAAAAAAAAAAAAAAAAAAAAAAAAAAAAAAAAAAAAAAAAAAAAAAAAAAAAAAAAAAAAAAAAAAAAAAAAAAAAAAAAAAAAAAAAAAAAAAAAAAAAAAAAAAAAAAAAAAAAAAAAAAAAAAAAAAAAAAAAAAAAAAAAAAAAAAAAAAAAAAAAAAAAAAAAAAAAAAAAAAAAAAAAAAAAAAAAAAAAAAAAAAAAAAAAAAAAAAAAAAAAAAAAAAAAAAAAAAAAAAAAAAAAAAAAAAAAAAAAAAAAAAAAAAAAAAAAAAAAAAAAAAAAAAAAAAAAAAAAAAAAAAAAAAAAAAAAAAAAAAAAAAAAAAAAAAAAAAAAAAAAAAAAAAAAAAAAAAAAAAAAAAAAAAAAAAAAAAAAAAAAAAAAAAAAAAAAAAAAAAAAAAAAAAAAAAAAAAAAAAAAAAAAAAAAAAAAAAAAAAAAAAAAAAAAAAAAAAAAAAAAAAAAAAAAAAAAAAAAAAAAAAAAAAAAAAAAAAAAAAAAAAAAAAAAAAAAAAAAAAAAAAAAAAAAAAAAAAAAAAAAAAAAAAAAAAAAAAAAAAAAAAAAAAAAAAAAAAAAAAAAAAAAAAAAAAAAAAAAAAAAAAAAAAAAAAAAAAAAAAAAAAAAAAAAAAAAAAAAAAAAAAAAAAAAAAAAAAAAAAAAAAAAAAAAAAAAAAAAAAAAAAAAAAAAAAAAAAAAAAAAAAAAAAAAAAAAAAAAAAAAAAAAAAAAAAAAAAAAAAAAAAAAAAAAAAAAAAAAAAAAAAAAAAAAAAAAAAAAAAAAAAAAAAAAAAAAAAAAAAAAAAAAAAAAAAAAAAAAAAAAAAAAAAAAAAAAAAAAAAAAAAAAAAAAAAAAAAAAAAAAAAAAAAAAAAAAAAAAAAAAAAAAAAAAAAAAAAAAAAAAAAAAAAAAAAAAAAAAAAAAAAAAAAAAAAAAAAAAAAAAAAAAAAAAAAAAAAAAAAAAAAAAAAAAAAAAAAAAAAAAAAAAAAAAAAAAAAAAAAAAAAAAAAAAAAAAAAAAAAAAAAAAAAAAAAAAAAAAAAAAAAAAAAAAAAAAAAAAAAAAAAAAAAAAAAAAAAAAANGTGAGAAAAATACTGTTTTAACGTGGGAAAAACCCAGATAACAGATGTTACTTCCTTTCACAGAAGAGAACATCCTCTGACTTTCCCTTATCTGGTTAAAATCTGCTCAGATGGGAAATGGTTACCCCTCATTCATTCCCCTTTCATCCGTTCTCATGAAAGAGTTACTGGCCAATGATTGGTCGGTATTCCGAAGATATACAGGAAACTTAGCAGAATTCGGGGAGTTCAGCGACAGATCCGAAAGCGTCCAAACTCCACATACGTTTCCCTCCTGATGACCAACGTCCTTAGACGAGTCACAGACAGAATAAGTCTAGAGTCTGCACATAGAAGTGATACCTTTATATTTTGTGCACGTATTGATCTCCCATACGAAGAAGTAAATGAACTTGCATACAGAGAAGAAGACGAACGACATCTGAAACAGGTCGTATGTTTTATAACGATTTTTGTGAGCTCTCTCTCGATCGCGAATAGGGTATAATATAAGCTTAGCGATCTCCCGATTTGTATCTTATTTGTAGTAGTTCTGTCTCTCGTTTATCCACATTTTGTATGAGTTTACATTCTTGTTTTATTAAATTTATTATTTCGTTTTAATTAAAAATGTCTTTTAATTGCGTGACCGAATCACATACGCGTGTTAATCCGCGTATAATAAGATTGATTAACTGGTGTCAAGGAATCCTGACGAGCATCTGAACTTCGCCGTTCGGATCATATAGCGGTTATCGCTCTCCTATGAAATATTTGAGATCAGATCTAGTGATCTGCATCGTAGAGAACTAGTCTTACCGACTAGTGCCGATTAAGTGTTACACGAGTACTACCTACTCCGTAACCCCGGCTGATCTCACAGCTGCAAACAACTGTATTTCTTTAACTTAGTCCTCAACTATTAGCATCAGTTTCGCCTTTACTTCGATTAAACTTAATTTTATAATATTTCCCCTTATTCAATAACTCGTCTTCCTTCTCGTATTCATTGCATACTTTCGAAAGCAATCTTCTATGCCGCTTTTGACGTCTCCCCGTGTTTTATATAAATAAATTTGAAGTTCACTTTGCAGCGGAATCCTGTGGCGGAGGCCAGTTGATCTGACCTCATAAAAAAGTCCTGAAGATTAGCTCTCCCGGATTCGATTTCCAGGCTTGCAGTTTAATCGACACGTGCATGATTAATGCTTTGAAATAAATGGAAATTTTTGAAATTATTTTAGAATAAATTTCTATTTTTTCAGTCTTAATTAAAACATGTGAAAGACGTTTATAATATCGCGATATTATTACGAAATTTAATAATAATAAATGTGTCATAATATAGGCTATATATATATATATATATTACCGCATGTGTCACGTATGGAATTCTCAGCTATAAAAATCACAGTGTAAATAAAGGCGATTAAATATATAAAATGACAAAAGCTATGAATACAGAAGTGATTTGCGTCGTTATATTAGTTCTTTGCGTCAATATCGATGCCTTTGGTAAGAAACCTTTTCTTTTCGTGCGATTAAAATATTCATATTTTTATTAATTAATTTTGAATTTAGGAAATAAGGTACCCATAAACTGTCATCTTCAACCAGATGAAAGACCGTGTAGCCATATAAGGTTTAGTTATTATCATAATATTTCTACTCGTAAATGCGAACTTTTTCGTTATGGTGGATGTCTCGGAAACGGCAACCATTTCGAATCTTTACAGGAATGCTGCGATCGTTGTTCTGCAAGTAAGTTTAGCTATTTGAAATTGTATATTAAGTTGGCAATTACTTTTTAAATTAATATATGAATTTAACGTTAGTATTTTGTTTCCCCCTCCCAGCAAATTTGGAATGTAAACAAATTCAAAAAGATATACAGGAATTAATAGACAGTCCACCAAGACCGAGTGGAAAAAGCACTGAAAGGTGGTAGTTGGTCACGGGATCGAACTTCACCTGCTGACTGAGCGCATGGAGTTTTGTACGTCTTCTTCCTGTGTTTTATTCTTTAAAGATAGTCGGTTTATCATAAAAAGTCCTTCCGGGGAGCACCGCTACTTCGTGTCTATGTGTTCTTATCTATAAAGGGAATAAATATCTAAAAATGATTTCCAGTCCATGTTACGCAGTAACGACTAATAAAGTGTCAGGAAGTGTTTATGTTTTATACATGGCGAACTATATTTAAAATAATCTGGTTTGTTTGAAGAATCGGCCATTTAGGAACCAAACAGTTCCAAATGGCTAAAAATATATGGGGTGTTTATTCCAAATTTTATTGATTTTCAATGAAAATGAATAGTAGATTTGAAGTTTATGTGATTTGATTTCTGGTGAAGCATTTCAAAATTTTAAAGTTTAAATTTATTAAGATAAAGAATTAATTAAGTA